CATTTAGCAAGAAAAGTTGGTTGTCGGAGGCGAATGACACCAACTTTCTCCCTTTAACATTGGTCTTCGAACTCCCCAGATTGTATGATGGGCGTTGAAGTCGCCAATTATAATGCGTGGGTGAGAAGTTGCTGACAGGATACCTTGTAGTCTTCTATGGTCGAAACGACTTGACAGAAAGAGGTAGGCACCCACAACCGTGATGGTAAGTCTCCTTTTCACTGTTATACTTATATATTGATTGTCGTCGTGGGGTGACACCAGATGATGAATGTAGGTGAGGTCGCGGCGAATAAACACCAGAACTTTGCTATTGTCTACAGTTGTAGACGACATGAATGACTCATAACTAGAAAGTCTGATTTCTTTTTGCAAATTTGGCTCGCAGAGGACAATGATGGGGAACTTATTGGTGTACACGAACCGACGGAAATCGGCGATGCGTGACCTCAGTCCCCGGGCATTCCATTGAATAATCGCTGCTTTTCGGGCCTCTTCTTTGAAAGACAGTGGCTGGTGAGCCATTATTTACTCAAGCGCTGCGAATACTGGACTCAAAGCGTCCAGTAATTGCAATGCACTTTTTGCTGACGGTGTGTGCAAGTTGCTTAACAACAAGCGGATGGCGTTAATTAATGGTCGCAAAAGAGCTATTACTTGCTCATCTGTGTTCCGCAAGTCCTCCATTACAGCAGCTTGCACCGAAGAAGACGGCTTCTGCTGCGGCTCTTCTGAGCGTTGTGTACGCGTAAGTGGAGGCCACTCTTCTGTAGAGACTGGTCTGCCCCTTTGCTCTTTTACAACGTCTGTGTTTGCCGTGCTGTACACTGAAGCTGGCGATCTTTCCCGATGCGTCGACTTATCGCCTGAGGTTGGCGCTCTCCGAAGTGAAGACCTTCGAAGGCGACGTCGTCTTCGCCGGATTTTCTCGGCAGCTTCTTTGTGGGCGGAGCTGTCTCGTACCATTTGCCTCAGAATAGAAAATTCCTTCTTTATGTGCGGACATTCTTTCGAAGAAGCCTTGTGAGCACCCTGATAGTTAGGACACTTCAGTGTGGTAGCGCTACAGTTGTCTTCCGCGTGAGGTTCGGCGCACCGGGAGCACGCTGCGGAGCTCCTGCAAACACCCTTTACATGGCCGATCTTCTGACAATTGAAGCATTGCACGGGTTTAGGAATGAACGGTCGAACTTGTTGACGAAAGTGGCCGACCTTCACGTATGCGGGAAGACAGTCCCCTTTAAACGTTACTCTCACACAGCGTGTGTTTCCAAGCCGTCCAATGCTGACAATGACGTTGTCTTGACTCGCTGGTTTTAGAAGTATTGGAAGGTCTGCGTTTGGTATTTCCGTGTTAATGTCGTAAATGACTCCTGATGTGGTCACACCATCAGCCGGTATGATGGACCTAACTGCAATGTTTCCCAGTTGTGTTACTTGTTGCAGCGTGCTCAGCGCACTCAGGTGCCGCACATCTACAGCCAGGAGGTTTCTTCTTGTATTAAGCCGTAGGCCTTTAATCTCGTTCGACGCAGTGTTCTCAAAATAGAGCGAAAACGCTTGCCTGTTCAGAACACGCAGACTTTCGGTAGCGTTCTTTGGCACAAACAGGATGGAATGGGGCCATCGCTGGGGCGCCGTTTTCACGGTGGCTGTGCTTGACACCGGCGATGGATTGATGATCCGTCTCTTGGCCTTGCGTTGCAGGACAGGTTGAAAGCCGTCGTCTGAGGACTCGTCGCAAGATGCGGAGTACAGCTCAGTGTCATCGCTCTCACTGGATGTGTTTCCTCGCTTCCTCGAGGAAGTGGCCGCGGTCGAACCGGAGTCAGACGTTGCTCTGTGAGGTTGTACATCCATTACCGCAACCTACGAGGCTATACAACCCACAACTGCAGCGAAAAGTCCAGAAAAGCACTGAGACGAGCGAGATGTGTTCCTTTGGAATGAAACAGACTATCAGACTCTGCGGCCTCCCTGTCCTCTGCAGGTTGAGGGTCTGTGCGACATCCTCTGGTTTTCCTCTCAGTACGTCATGTAGTGCAGCATGCATGATGTACTTTCGCGTGTTCGCTTCAGCTTCCCTGCCCTACTTTCTCGCATAGGCAATGGCGTCAGCAACCGTTGCACTTCTGACAGATATGCACATAAGGGCGGTCGAAGATCCAAGCTCTGCAAAAACAGTCTTAGCTGCAATATCGATGATCTCATCTCCAACTAGCACCACCACCCTTTGTGTTCCCATCGGTAGGCAGCTTTGCGAATTCCGACAAGAGGGGCTCTCAGTCTCGTCCCACTTGTCGCATTCTTTTGCTTTAATAGGGGTGGGGGAGGCTTTTTTGGGAGCCGCAGCCAGCACAGTCATATGTTCTCGCGGGGGCGTGCCCTTTCCTGGTGGTCCGCCCTTTCTTACTCGGTGGCCTCTTGCGGCGGCTCTGTTGATCAGTGTTACCTGCCTGCGATTTGACGCTCTGTGCTTCAAGCCGCATGTCTGCTGCGCACTTGTGGATGTCTCTCAGGGTCTTGGAGTGAGATGGCCCAGCACCAAAGTTCTGTTTTGCCACGGGAACGGTATCTACTGTTGTAGGCTCACTTCTCGGGGCGTGCCACTGAGGGGGGGGGGGGTGGTTGCCGCAGTAGCCCGTCTTCTATTTGTGTGGTCGCCGAATGCTCCTCTGTGGTCAACTGTGTTGAGGCCACCTGCTCTCTGCGCTCGTCGTTTACCGCTGGGGAACCATAGTTATTTGTGGTATCCACGGTATGTGCCGTTGCGCAGCAGCTCTCTCGGGTTTTTCAGCAGGCGCTGTTTCCTCCTTGTCATGAGGCTGTTCCGGCAGATTATTATCCTCCAAATCGTGGGGGGGGGGGGGGGGGAGGAGACTAGTGGTTGTTGCTGGTGCACTTCTACCTGCTGCAACTGCTTGGTCATACTCTGGACAGAGTTCTCGAGTCGTATAAGCTTGGCCTGTAGCACTTTACAGGCCCGTTTTTTGTCGTGAGGTGCGCCACTCTTTCAAATAAGCCTTCTTTTGGCATATCGAGCATCTAAATTCCACCTCTTTGGCTGTGTCGAGATCCGGAAAAAGTGTTTCGTCTCTATACACCCTTCGGCCACAGTTGTCGGACCTTACACAAGGCGCCTTGTTCTTGGTGCGTGTTTTGCAGCCTGCTCGCTCTTTAGCCATTGCAGCGTGCTCGAAACAGTAACGCCACCTATTAGCGTTCTGTCAGAACCACGTTTCTCGATACTTTGATACCGTGGTCGTAGATGCCGCCACTTGTCAACAGTCACTGGCGATGGATCCAATACGGCATGGCCGCGAGGCTAGGCCTAAGCCCGTGGTGTTTGGGGACGTAGAATGTCTCGCTGCCACAACATCCCAATCCCCGTCCGCGCTCACCATACGTTCACGCGCTGGTCAGTGTCGATGACATGAGAGCCGTGGCAGATGGAGCCGATGGCAGCCGTAAATGTCGGGCCTAAACCACAGAGCGAGCAACCTTCTCGTGACGATGGCTCATCAGCCAGAAGTACCGCTATCTAGTGAACACTGCAAGAACTAAAGAAGTGGCTTCATTAAGGGAACGGTACCGCCATCTAGTGAACACTGCAAGAACTAAACGAGAGATGGCTACATACAGGGGACGCACAGCCCACACCTTAAGGAGCTTCGCCCCTAAAACTGTGCAAATTAGATGATACCAACAAAAAAACAAGACGAGTGCGTACTCACAAGTGAAGGATGTATTGCTTCAATGCAATATAAATGAAAAAGAATCCAAGTATATCTACATAGTGATTGATGATCAGTGCAGCGAAGCATCCTTCCGTCCATCCGTGTGTCTAACCATCCATGCGTTCGTCCGTTCACTCGCCTCTCCATCCGTTCGTTCTGCCATTCGTACGTTCGTTCGTGCTTTTGTCCGTCCGTCTGTGAGTACGTCCGTGCGTCCGTCTATCTGTCTGTTTGTGCACGCTTCCGTCAGTCCATTTGTCTGTCCATACATTCCTGCTTCCGTTTCTCCATTTATTCGTGCTTCTGTCTATATATCTGTCCATCAGTCCATCAGTCCGTCCATGCTTTTGTCTGTTCGTTCATCTGTGAGACCGTCCATCCGTGATTCCGTCCATCCGTGAATCCGTCCACCTGCCTGTCTCTCTGTCTGTCTGTTTGTCTGTCCATGCATCCGTATATCCATCCGTCCATCAGTCTGTCTGTCAGTCCCTCACACTAGTGCCACCTGCTGAGGGAGTCATACAACTATGTGGTTATAAACCAGTCACGAAAGACATGCACAGACAGACCCAGGGCTTTAGAAGCTTCGCCTCTAAATGAGTAGGGTGATGGATAACTTGAAGATTCACGTTACTTGTTCATCCAATTTTTCATTCCTACACGTAAATGATGCGGCTTCTGCTCACCATGACATACGGAGGTCCCTCATAACATTGGTCATCGTGGCTCCATGCTTTTCACACTTTTACACTTTTTTACAATACTATTATAGCGATAAAACAGTGGCTTCTACTTCTGCCAATCTGGATGAACCTCCTCGTAACCCTACTTTCAATGGTCGCTGCGAATTTTAGTTTTTGTAACCCACTTAAGGACGTCGTCGCGCTTAATCACACGACCACACACTCGCATTTCAGGGCTATCTCTAAAAGATTTGAGTATTCCGGAAGTCAAGATGTTTAGTAGAAAAGCGTGCGAACTATCACCGGAAAATCGAGATTTTTTCTTACCCAAACTACTATTGACCGTGGGCGCACTTTTTTCAACCATTCCGTTTTGTTGCAGGTAAACAACGCCGACATTAAAAGAGGATATCAACACACTCAAAATATGTATAGATTTTTAGCGTACCTTCACAGAAGACATACTTCATATGTTTCTGAAATCTCGTACTAGCACACCACAGCCTCTGTATGTGTATTGTAGTGACAGTTGAATGAATAGGTAATACAGGCACAGCAGTACTTACAGCATCTGCACACACACACTGTCCCATCACTGCAAGTGAGCTTATTTTTACTTGATTTGCAATTACTTTTCCATGGCTCTTCACATGAGGCATTTTGGTCAACTGCAACAGGGTGAAATTATAAAATGTACTCATTGTTATCAAAAGGAAGCCTCGCTCTTCAAGAAATAATTGCTTGAAACATTCAGATGCTGCGCTTCAGTGCTCCTTTTCTCTATATGCGGTTTCGCGAAGTTCTCAACAGGATTGCAGGTTCTCGCTACAGCCGCTTGATTTAGGACCCCCTTCTGCATACTACGGAAAATACCCCATGTATTTTGAGCCAATAATGAATTGAAACTAAACTAAAACAGTCAATATTCGACAATGCAAACGCAGTAAATGTCGACATTCCTTCAGCAGCATCGGTACACACCAGGCACCCTCGTCGGCATTGTATGATAACCGACATCTTGTTTGAATGTTCAATTCCTTAATGTGCCATTCTTTAGGTGAATAGTTTTAAAGGTTCTATTATATCAGAAACAATAAGGCAAATGTAGAATAGGCATTCGCTATGCTGAGGAATACCTCCTACTAATCCAACTGACCTAATCTATGCAAGCTCAAATGCATGGCGTAGTTGGGTAACGTTGGAATCAGGTATGACGACACAAAAAAGATAAGTACACGGCACCCAGTAAAAGTTCACTCATCAATAAGAAGTCACAGTTCTGTCACTAGGGCGGGACAATAAATACCATAGTAACCAATTGGAATGCGATGCGAAGAAGAACCACAAACAGCTCGAAACTCAAAGCATGCTGTTGAAGTACAAATAACCACAAAAAGCAAAGAGAAAAAGAATGAACTAGGAAGGTCGCCAAAAAAATGAGGTGTGGCCTGCCGAATCCGAACGTATTCGATGGGGGAACGCCTGACATGCAGAAGAGCAAGCCACTTCCGCAGATGCGCTGCACATCAGGGGCTTTAGTAAAGCGCGGCTGCTCATAAACGAAAGCTCGGGGCGTTGGCGCATGTTAGCGCAAGGAAATGATTTTGAAAGAAACAGCCGAGCGCTTGTTAACGGAATAGAAATGGTATTTTAGGCACTGCGAAAGATGGGTGGTTTTTGGTATATGGGCGCTTTGAGTGAGGGTCTACAGCAATCAGACATTTAGCGATCACCGCGATGTTCTATACCTGTTGCTTGCCGCGATTCGGATCAGTAGCTGTGAAGAAGTCAGGTATGCACTTCCTTCTGTTAAGCAGAACCACTAAAGATGCAACACAAGGTACTGCGACCGACAGCTGTACGAGATACCCGCGCTCCTGTTGAAACGACTTCTTATTTCGCCTGCTAGAGCCTTACAAACAGCAAACAATAATAACCAGACGTGCATGAAAGTTAAAAAAACGTGTTCATCATTTGCAGGCAGAAGTTGCTCAAAAAGAAAGGGTGGTCAGTGGAACGACATCGAAGTGTGGAACGATTCTCTGGACTGGCCGACGGCCTACTCTGGAAAGGACACGTTTACAGGCAAGAGTTAATGCATCGATATCAACTAGTCCACCTTCCCATTCTTTCAAGTTCAAAAACAATAAACCTTCCGCTCATAGTGCAGCACCGTGTGTATTCCAGCGATTCCTTGTGCTCGTTCCCTATTTGTGCTCTTATTTAAACGCTTAGTACACACCAAAACACTTGTATGTACTTTGTTGCAGTAAAATAGTTATGAGGTGAAAAGTGATGCTTAATTATCACTTATCAGGGCCTTGCGAGGCAGCAAATCCACAATAGAAATTATATAGATGGCAGCCATTTCACATCGCACAATTCACCGTTTTTACGGTGAAGAGGGTTTCCTCCTTCCTGGGCTGCTGCCGGAGAGTACGAAAGCCAAGGTCACAGCCTCGGCAGTGCATTCCTTGTGGAGAGAGACAAACTTTTTATTTCAAGCATAGAAAAATGTCGGGTAAGGCTCTCAGTTCAGAGCTCAAAGAGCCACCGTTGCTGTGTCCCGCACCCGCTGAACCAGCGCCCGCTGGCCACTCGGGCTTTCATCACGCAGCACGGCCTCCCAGTCTTGCAAGGTAGGAATAGGAGAGGAGTTGGCAAAGCGCCTGGCTGGCGGACGCTGACATTCCAGCTTTGCGTGAAATAACGTCGGCACCACTTCACAGCCATGACATTTGTCAGGGTAAGAAGTGGGATGGAGGATGTGGAGGAAATAGAGGTTCGGAAACGTGTTCACCTGCAGTTGACGCACCGCAGTTGCATCTTCTCGTGTGAGCGTGTGGTGTGGTGGAGGGTACCGAATGCGTTCTCGTCTATAGTAATCGAGAGTGTCTCGATATTCTAGATGTTCCGTGCTTGTGTCCTCCTCATCTGGGCTGGACAGCTCTTCCTCCGGATCCTACTTAGTGAGTGCTCGGGTAGCTGCGTGAGCGCAGTCATGACCGGGGAGAGAGGCGTGCCCAGGGGTCCAGACAAGTCGGAACTTGTGTGGCGTGTGGAATGTGGTGTTCAAAATTCGGTGTTTGTGCTGTGAGACAATACCCCGCGTGAAGGCACGGCAGGTATCCATTGAGTCTGTAAAGATTAGAATAACATCTGCGTGAGGAAGGTTTATGGCAGCGTGGGAAATCGCCAGAGCGACTGCACACTCTTCGCCTTCAGATATGTTATTTGTAGGTACGCTGATTGAGGCTACTACGTCGTGATCATTGTTCACCACTGCTCCAAGTGTAAAACTGCGGGAGCAGTGTCTAGCGGCGTCGCAGTATAAGAGAGTGTCCGGAGGAGACTGATTGATGAGGCGCGTAAGGTTTTTCACCCTTGCCCACCGGCGCTGAGCGTTGCGCTCAGGGTGCATACTGCGTGGACGTGGCGCGACTCCAATTCTTGCTCGGAAGTCAGAGGGTAGCGTTTTTCCCGGTGTGCTGTATCTACATCTATTCGGAAGGTGCCTAGCCTGACGAGTAGTCGCTCTCCCACTAGGGTACTGTGGAGTCTTCGTAGCTGACTATTACGTTGTGCCTCGGTAGTTCCCTGAAGTTCTTACGTACACCCATGACTAGGAGACGGTTGGTCGATGCGTACGTAGGTAGTCCAAGCGCCGCCTTGACGGCTCTACGGAAGAGAATGTCCAGTCTTCTCTCTTGTGCAAGCGTTAGGGTTTGATAAAGCAAGTGGTAGGTGATGCGACTTACTATGCAGGCATTAACTATACGTAGAATGTCTTGTTCCTGAACTCCATGCCTTCGGTTGGTGATGCTGTGGATTATATGCGTGATTTGAGAAACTTGCTGTTATAATATTTTCATGGTGTGCGTTGCCTTGAGATCAGCTTGTATATGAAGGCCAAGGACGCGGAGTTTCTGTACGCAGGGAATTACATGGTCCTCTAAGGTGACTGTGATTTCCGGACTGTTGTCGGGCTTTCGCTGGGGACGACGCATGAGTAGAAGTTCCAACTTATTTGCGGAGCACGTTAGACTACCTGCTCGTGCGTATGCTTGAACTGTATTTACTGCTTCTTGGAGGGCGTCTTGTATTTGTCCGTCTGAGCCTTTTGTCACCCATACAGTGACGTCGTCCACATATAAAGCATGTCGCAGACTTGGAATGGTGGCGAGTAGAGGAGGTAACATAGCCATGGCGATGCTGAAGAGTGTCAGGGATAACACCGATCCTTGTGACGCGCCTTTACCCGCGAGCCTAATGACGTCACTGTAAAGAGAGCCTAATCTTATGGTTGCCGTCCTGTTTGTAAGCAATGCTTTCACATAGTCGTAAACTCGTCATCCGCAGCATATTGACGCGAGATTTTCCAGTATTAGGTCATGCGAGACGTTGTCAAACGCACCGCGGATGTCCAAGGCAAGCGGAGCTCTAGTTAGCGTAGAACTGAGCCAGTCCATTACTTCCTCTTTTAGTTGGAGAAGTACGTTCTGCGTGAAAAGATGGGCTTGGTACCCAAACAGTGTATCCGGAAAAAATCCCTGGGCCTCCAGATAAGGTTGCAGTCTTTGGTGGACGACATGCTCCATTAATTTACCGAGGCAACACGTCAACGAGATTGGTCGCAGGTTTTCAAGCTCTAGGGGTTTGTCCGACTTAGGAATAAGTGTTATTTCGGCATGTCTTCATTTCTGGGCTAACGTTCCGGCTTTCCAGTGAGTGTTGTAAAAATCTGTGAGCTGCTCTAGATCTTCGTCGTCGAGGTTTCGTATGAGAGAGTATTGGATGTTGTCTTTCCCTGGCGCTGTGTTGCGCTTGATATTCAGAAGGGCAGCTCGAACTTCGTGCACAGTGATATCAGCATCCAGCTGTATTGAGTCTGTATTGGGGTATTATTTATGTTTTGGCTGAGGGCCTGCAGCGATGTACTTTTCTTGAAGCGTCTGTAAGATACTGTTGTCGTCCCCATCTGGCTTGTTGCTCGTGTAGGACTTGGTACTTTTCGGGTCAACAAGGGCTCTTAGTATGGCCCACGTGCGCGCAGTGCTTAGTGTTCCATTAAGTGACTTACAAAAGTTGTGCCAATGGTTCCTCGTGAGCTCTGTGGCGTATTGTTCGGCTTGCAACGTGAGTTGAGCAATACGAAGTTTAAGCTTTCGATTGTGTCTCTGCCTGTGCCAGCGTTTTATGAGGCTTCTGCGTGCTTCCAGCAGGTGTAGAAGGTGCCTGTGGACATCTGGAATTGTGGTTGTAGTGGTAATCCTCTTGGTCGCTTTATCAAGGTCAGCTTTCAGGCACTGTCGCCATTCATTTAGAGGTCTCCCATTGTTGTCAGTCTGAGCGCGTTCTTTTCTAAATGTATCATAATTAGTCAGACGGACTTTCCGCTCTGCAGCACAGGGGTTAGAGATGTGCAGTGTAGTGTAAATGATGCAAAGATCTCTACCTAACGTTTTATGTAGATTTTTTCAGTTATAATTGCTTAGTCACCTTACAAAGGTTTGGTCAGGGCACGTATCTCTGGTTGCGCTGGATTAAATTCTGGTTGGCTCTTGCGGATCTGTGCGCAGTGTATATCTGTGATTGCAAATGAGGCGTTCTAATTTGGTACCTTTACGCGTGGCCGATAGGTATCCCCAGGACGTGTGTGGGGTGTTAA